CCACACGGGTCGGATCTGGCCCCGCCCTCACCAGCTGTGTGACCCTGGAGACGTGACTCATGCTTTTGTGCCTCAGTGTCCTCAACTGTGAAATGGGATAATACAGCTTGTTGGGAGAACTGAATGGCTTGGTCCATGCAGAGTGCTCAGAACACGGCCAGGAGCTGAGTAGGTGCCTAATAAATGCAGGCCCTTGCTATCACTGTGGTTGCTCCAGCTCGGTTTCCGCTAAGTGTGCACCCCCAGGGCCAGGGGCCACCCGCCATGCTTCTGGGTCCCCACCCACCCCTTGCTCAGGGTGCCTATCCTGCCTGGGTGCTGTGAGCTGTGTGTCTCTGGGTTTCTCACCCAACTTCTCTGAGCCTCCACTCCCTCTGGCCCTGAATTGGTAGTGATATCTACCCGTGGCAGGGATCAACCGATCAACTGATCAATCCAGTGCCTGCACAGGACACTGGATTGTGACTGCAGGGGCCCCAGGTGGGTGCCCAGTGTGTGCGGACGGTCACAGCAGCCGTAAACTCAGATGCCCCCCCCCTGCGGGCTGGGCCAGCAAACTGTGGGCGTCCTGCCGCGGGACTCCTTAGCCGTAAAGAAGAGCCAACGGCCCATACTCGCCACGGCGCGGTGAATCTCACGGCTGTCGTGCTGAGACGAAAGAGCAGTCCGGCGTTTGGAATCTAGACAAGGCCAGAGCAGCCTGTGGTGACAGCAAGCAGAGCAGTGGTTCCCAGGGCTGGGCTGGGGCGTGGGGGACTGTTTGGCAAGGGGCACGAGGAAGCCTGGTCTTGGAAATGTCCGCACGCTGTTTTGGGGGGTTGATTCTCTGGCGCGTCTGTCAGAACCAGCAAACCAGACCCCAGAGCTGTGCGCGTCGCATTGTACGAGCACCAGTCCCCGCTTGTTCTAAAGGCAGAAACAAAGTTTGTCGCTGTGGTTGTCATGCATTTATTGTTATTTCTCCGACTGCTCTAGGGCTACCGAGACCCCCATGAGCCCTCTCTCTCGATGCCAGTGGAGACCCAGGGCTAAGTTTGGGACGACTTTTTCCCAACTCTGGCCCGTCGGGGAGATGACCCGGCGCGGCAGAAAGAGCCTCGGACCTGGGCACATCCTGGCTCTGGATCTGCCTCTTCCTTGCTGTCTGCCCCGGCAGGCATGATTTAAGCCTCAGTTTCCTCATCTGTTAAGTGGGGCTAATAGTGGTGCCCTGCTGGTGAGGCTGTCGCCAGGATGCACGGACAGGAGAGGTGCGGAGGGCCGTGGCTGTTGGGGGCTCACAAGGATAAAACGCTCCGACCCGAAGCGAACAAAATAAAGCAAAGCAGCGCAGAGGGTGGGGGCGATCTCCAGCAGCCGGGCTACTAGGGGGCGAATCCCGCTCCTTGGGCCAGTCTCTCACCTCTTGGGGCCTCAGTTTCTTCATTTGGAAAACAAGGGTGATACTGGCACCCCCTTCCCCGCAGGGCTGTTTGGGGACTTAACGAATAGCCGGGGAGAGAATCGCTCTGCCACTGGAAATTCACCCTGGCTCACCACCTGCCAGGACCAGAGGTGCGTGGTGCCCACGTCAGCCCTGACTGTGCCGCCTCGGGCACGTCTGCCCGGCTCGTCGCCCCTGGGCACCCGCCCACTTCCTCCCCAGCAGTGGGCGGGCAGGCCCGGCTGACATCAGGCGGTTTCTGGGCCCGCCTGGCACCCAGAGGGGGAAGGACACAATCTGCCCCAGCCCGCGGGAGCTGACCCAAGGAGCCCAGGACACGCCCGGTGGCTCCGTGACCCAGGTCACCTGCAGCCAGATCTGACAGGGCTGGTCACCCCTTCACC